TTAATGGATGCGATTCTGCCTTAATATAATGGAACAAGAAGGAGGTTTTCTTCTTTTACTTTAAACATCGTAAACAAGAATACATCTATGCATTTTCACCTCTCTAGAAGAGAGGCTACAGCCACTTATATGCTACCTCCTGTCATTAATATAAAATTTTGTTTGACTTTTATTTTGGTCCTAAATATAAGACCCGAATCTATTTTATCTCTCATATTTATCTTTTTTTTTTGGTCAAGATAGTCCTTCTAATAATAGTAGTTCTAGCCAATAAATTTGATTAGCAAAAATATTTTTGAAAAGACAACACTTATATATAGTAAACAGAAACATCTTCATTTTGCTGTCCTAATAGTCGCAGGATTACACAGTTCACTGATTGAAATGATATGACGCCATTTTCACCAAGTTTATCATATAGGTAAAGGAGATGGGGAAGTTACATATGACTTCTCAAGCAAAAGATTGATGAGGCACGTAGACCATTTGTATACATGGAATTCCGTGGTGAAAAAGCCTACGGATACTGAACCATGTGAACGAAGCCTGTGATTCTTCTGGATTGATCTTTAGTGATGAGAAAGATAGCAGTGAAAGTTGTTGGGATCAAATATGAGGGATGAACACTGAGAAACAACCTCACATAAGATATAGAATTAAATTAGAGAATAAATATATGGATGAAAGGGTTAGAGATTTAATACTTCAGCGATCAATAAATGTTATCAAGTATTTGAGGCTCTCTTGAGTCCCCCAAAAGTGAGGAAGCTAGGCCATGAGAGTGGTCCTAGAGAGCTGGAAATAGTGATTGGGTGAATCAAAATAATCCAGCGTCAGCTATCCTGTAAGCAGTTAAAGAGCAGAAAACTGCAGGGAAGGAAGCGGCATCTGAAGCTGATACGAATATTATGTACCTGCGTAGCACATGAAATGGCTTGTAGGTGCAGAAACTGGGAATTCTCTTTTTTTTTTCTTCACTAGGATTGTCTCACACACACACACACACGCACGCACACGCACGCACACAGAACAAACGTACGTCAATATCAGATTATGTATGCAAAGGAAGGTTTGTATTTTATGTCATACAGTAACTAACAGAAACAAAGGAAGAAAGAAAGGCAGACTTAAGCTTGACATGATGAAACTAATGAATAAAGAAGAAAGATGATCGAAGTGATATATGTATGAATAGATTAGCATTAGTCATAAGGAAAGAGGTAATCTGCAGCCGGAGGTCTAGAAAGAAACATTGGAAGAATGGTTCTAAACCTCAGGATGCAGATTACCCCATCCTCACCCAAATGAAGGATTGCCCCGATGTGAGCAGAATGTTAGTGGGAGCTTAGGAATTTATAATCAGCCATCAAGCATATTATAAATATTCTTTTATGGGTTTTAGGATGGAAAGCTTCTTTCCTTTTCTTTTTCTTAAATTTACGGGAAAATAACAACTAAAACCCCATAATTATTAACAATTTATTTATCAGAAGAAAAGCAGCAGACCAATGTCACCAAAGAACCAATAAATTCCAAAATATAAAGAAAAAGAACTAAATGTACTTAATCACCTTATAATCTAGTGGCATAAAAGTTTTTCTATAAGTGGGAGGTTGCAAATTTGATCACACTCCTAATCCCACCGCAGTTAAGAGAAATAAGAGCCTCATAATATTATTAATCCTTGAACAAAAAGAGTACAAATAGGTCTTTGTATATGCAAACCACAAGCTAATAAATTAACCCTAGTATCTTATCTAATTCGAAGGACTAAAAGTTAAGCGATTTTTGAGTCCAAAAAAAAAAAAGTTAAGCGATTTGGAAAGTAACTAGATGCATGGATGTTGTATGTTGCATGGAATTCAAGGTGAGTTACACTAAAAAAAACCGGGGGGGGGGGGGGAGACATGCGCCATATTAGAATTTGAAGGATTAAAAGTTAAGAGAAATAAAAATCTTAAAATATTATTAATCACTGAATGAGAAGAGTACAAATAAGCTTTTATATGGGTAAATCACAAGGTAATAAATTAAATCTAAAACCTTATCTAATACAATATAATCCTAATATCTTAGATTTATTTTTCTAGGATATAATAATATAATATTTAAACATAATCCTGAATAATATCGTAGTATAATTTTAGATAACTGAATGATTAATAAAACATAATAAATGACTAATAAAAAATAATACTAATTAATTAATTGTAGCATATTTTCACAACTATAATATATAAATAAGGTTCCTTAAATAACATCCACCTTTATTAGCAATTATCTGTGAATTCTCGTGAATTTAACATTTGTCTTCATAAATTTACAACTCGTTGCAAGTAATAGGCGAATGATTTTTGAGTCCCCTATAAGAAGATTATTAGCATTTTGATCTTTACTAAAAAATAGAAACGAAAGTAATAAGGGTTAAAGAGTATTACCTTCGTTTCAATATACATCAATGTATCTGTTATTTTTAAGTTTTGGGTTGTTTTCCTCAAAATAGTTGTCACTTTATAACATATTTGTATTAATTATTTTTGTATAATTTTTCTCTTTTTCAATTCAAGCCTTTCGAATGCTCTCTTTTTCCTTTAATTAAAACTATTTTAGACAAGTAACATTAAATTTCACTATGTGCTCCATAATCTAAACTATTTAATAGCTTTCTTAAATTGTACGTATAATATTAATGATGAATGAACAAGTTGAAACGGCGTTGTAATTTGCAACTACCTTTCAAATTTTGAGACGGAATATTAAACTTAGAAATTAAGGGTCTTTAGTTAATTGTACTTCTAAATTTTGATTACTCAAGGATGTTTGATTTTATTGACACTTTAGAATCTGTTGATTCTTTTGGGACTGTGCTCTTTTAATTGTCACCCGAACCCCATAAATAAAATAAAAAGGCGCGGACAAAAAAACAATCAAAAGTATTATCAATCAGAATTACTTTCAATAAAAGAATACTCATATATAAAAAAAAAATTCAAAAGTATTGATCCTTCTTAATTGTGCCCTACGTGGCCTGTCCAAGGGCCGCATGGAATAATTGTCGTTTCTTTAAAGTCTATTTTTGGCGTGAGTGATTATTTTTATATGACTGAAAACATAAATTAATTTATATGCGCATAAAGTGACTCCGGCACTACCAATATGAATCTGTTGCTAGTTTTCTTTAACCAATTTTGCTTTAGTTTTAAAATTGAAACGTCAAGGAATCTGTTCAAAATTTGTTAAAATTATCAACTAACTTTATTTAATCTTTTAAATAATAAATATTTACATCACTCTTATGTCTAATATTTCTGCTCATAGTTTTGTGAGTTCTCCTGGTAGCTAACCCTTATAGTACTCCTTTGGTCTTTAATATAAAACATAATTGTTGAGTCAATCCTGATCATTAAACGAGACCTCCTAGTCAACAACATATCTAAGAATTGGATTGTCGACAGAGCACGATGGCGTCATGTGATTTATGTAGCCGACCCCACCTAGTGGGATAAGGCTTGTTGTTGTTGTTGTTGAGTTAATCCTAGTCTTAAATAGAAGACTTATTTATCATATTTATCAGTTTTTTCTAAATTACATCTATTGATATTCCTCCAATCATAATCAAATAGGAAAATGAGGGAGGATATTAAAGCAGATGATCATGGTGTTTTAGGAAAAACATGTCATATTTTTTTATAATTAACTAACTTACCTAACTTCCTTAATCTAATTAAATTAGTTAAATAGATCTTATATTAAGTATTGGAGGAGTAATTTTTTTTAAATAAAAGAAAAATAGAAGTTCTAAAACAAATATAATTTCCGTGTAATTTAAACATCTCTTGGGGAAGACATTGCAATGTAATTATTAAAAAAAGGCATGCTTTTATCATGCTTACGAAAAGCTCAAAATTAGATTTATACAGAGCATATTTTATCGCTACAAATTTCATAATTGTCATTAAAGAAAGTGGTATAAAATTAAATTGGTCTTGTGCATCACATAAAACTCAATATAACAAATTGCATCATTCTGCGTTTGTGAATAGTAAGGTTTACGTTGGACTTTTATAATGTTTAGATTAGATTAGGTGTATATTTAGACATAGTATTACAGATGTTCCGATGAAGATGGGACTTAAGCCTGTTTTCTTAATTTTATAAAGTATTTTCTGATCCACTAACATTAACTTTAAATGATCATCTTTTATAATAATTATTGTTTTTTTTAAAACTAAACTCAATATATCAATATTTGAGAATTTTGCTAATAATGTGAGCATTTCTTATCAAGGGCGTTAAGAGTTAAAAGACAAAACAAAAACTCCATTTTATAATTAAAGAATGAAAATGAAATTATATTACACATACTCTGATAAGCATTAATCACAATGAAAGGCACTAGGTTCCTCTAAGCCTTTAAAATCATAGGAATCTAACCCTCACCATGGAATCAAATTTTGTTTTGTGTTTTTCGTTTTTTTTTTTTTTGGGGGGGGGTGTTTGGGGGGCACAAAGACAACAACGAGCCTCCACTAATTTAATGCTTGCACTTTGTATCCTGGTACGAATACCGCCACAGTTATACTTCACCGCAAAACTCATAGCAGTAAATGAATGAAAAGCGTGTTTGGTTCGAAGATATAAGCTCCAACCCAAGGAACTTTGGATAAAATTAATTAAGGCCCTTCAAGTGTATGAATGCTCGGGGCTGCCATTAAAAGTTGATTATTCACCTGTTCCTTTTCTCTTACTTTAATAAGAGGACCTCATAAACCTCCACTCTTCAAAATCAAAATATCCAAATCTTACGGAGTCCAGACCTATGAAAAATATGAAAGTCATTCTTTATGGATTCCAAAGGCACAAAATTCTCATTTAAGAAAGCCCATTCCCATTGCAGGCTAGAGTGCTAGAGTAGGTATAATTATTTTGAAACAATCACTGGTTCCCTGCAAAAGAAAAGCAAATTCCTCACATCTTGCCCTCTTTTCCGGTGAAAGATCTCCGAGCAGAATAATATGTTCAAATGGATTAAAAATATGATCCGCCATGAACATCTCAATAACCATTACACCAGCCAATGTATAGTATCCATATTCTCAGAAGAAAAGTTCTACCTTTACTATACAAACCCATTTTGGCACACAATAATTTAGCTAAATCCCCCATACACTCCACTTCTTACCTTGAAAGAAGTCACTGCATAAACATAACTACAAATATAACAAGTTGAGTACATGATAGCTTTGAAGACACGTGATTCAATAGCTCTCAACAAAATTGCTTTGGTGATATGATCGTCAACTACAAAGAAAAGGTTTCAACCTAAAATTCGAACAGAGTACAATTGTTGTTGCTCAGGAATAACTATCTATACACCCAGACATGTGTCCATGGCGGTGACAGCAAAATTCACCCCCGCAAAATTTCAAATAGACCCCACCTACTTTCTTTTCTTCTATTAACTTTACCTCTAAACCTCTGTCCAAGGCTTTGAATAGATGGGAAGAGCACAAGAAATCATGGAAAATCGCTCTAAGATTGTGGAATGCCAGATAGAAGCATCTTCATCGTCTCGTATGTCATAAAGACAATGCCAACACTAGGAACAACCTTGTAGTACTCAGGCAGAATGCCTCTGTACAGGCCCCGTAGACCTTCAGTCTGAAATATGTAACCAAATGTCCCAAACAAACCGGTATTATAAACACGGGCTCGGCCAGCAGCCCCCTCTAACTGCATCCTGCGCCTGACCAGATCCAAAGGAAAAGTTGCTGCAGATTTCAATAAACCAGAGAATGATGTGAGAACCAAGATATAGAAATACTTTTATCCAACATGAGGACTTCATACTCATATTGACAAGGCAGCAGTGAAAGTAGCAAGACAACCGAAGCTGGCTGCACAATGGTAATTCGAAAATCGCATACATAAGAGAATTGATATTAGAGTCAAATGCTAGTACAAGTTGAAGCATAATTTTCACTACAAGTGTAACAGTTCCTCCGCAAATGAAAATGTGACATACAGCAAGCACCAACCTGTCGAAGATGCAATGCCAGATAGACTGCCGCAAGCAAGACTGACCATGACAGTCGAATCATTGGGCCTAAATTTAGAAGAACAGAACAATTGATATTTACAGACACATAAGCCATACTGCCGTCATTAATTATTAGGCATAAAATTTAGAATAAACAGTACTCAATTTTAAGGGAGCATACATATTCAATTAATCACCTTCGGGATTGCCAAAAGGAGCGCAAAGTCTCATAAACAGAAAAACTGATGGCTATGCTAGGCCCAACACCCTGCATCATACAAAGTAATAGTTACAACAGTTGGGGAAAAAGGCAAGATTAAAGCAAATTATTGAAAAAGCCACATAAGCACACCATCAATGTCGCTCCAAGTCCCTTATACAGGCCAAGCAAACCTTCCTCTCTACAAATGGTACTAAAAGCATGTGAGATGCCCCTGTAGTACATGGCACTTCTCTGCAGAAAATCAAATGAAAAATGTTTAACAGAAGAATCAAGAGGCAGGGGAGCAAATTTGGTCAACTATACACACCAAGCAGAACACGGTAAAGTCACTGCCCCATGCAACCAGAAGCCGGAAAGACAACTCTAAAATTTCTTACCTGACACAACAATTTCTAATTACCTGTGCTGCAAGTCGTGTTCTCACAAGATCCAAAGGATAAGTGGCAGAGGCAGCAGTTATGCCCGCCAAGCCACCTCCTAAAAAGTGCACAAAAGGTTCTGAGCTTACATAGCCTCTATGATTTTCCTCAAGAAGCGAATATATTGCCTGCAACAAGACAAAAATAAGTGAAAATCTCTACAGGCTAAATAAATATGAGTCATAACTACTTGGCCACATACAGATCGCGTAAAGAACATCAGAGGTTACATTCTTGTAGCGTTCATAAGCATAGAAGCTGACTGCAGAATAAGGAAGACGGTGAGCAATGGTCACCAAATTGCCTTTCCAAAATGCTCTAAATCCTTCTTCACTGACAATGCGTGAAGCCTCCTTCCATATGCAAGGCTTGCTCAATGCAGCCACCTCCGAATGCATACCTTGCACCTGATATTAAGACATGCGGAATCATCAGATGACTCTTAAAGGGTGTTCCTTTGAATTCACAAAAGCAAAAAAAAAAAAAAAAAGTTTGACGCATATTCACATTTAAATCCACTCAAGTTACACCTGATAATTAAATGTCATTAACATAAAGAGATGAACTCAATAATCCAATCAAGACTAAAGGCAACGCCATAATCGACTCATTCACTTGCCTCGTGCAATTTGACTTGCATCGTTTATAACTCAAAGCATCGTTTATAACAGAAATTTTACCCAAAAAAGGAAAAGTTTACAGGAATCATGCAGCCTGACTCATGTTCCACTCTAGTTTCATAGTCATTTGAAGGAACGATACAGGCAACATTATAAGTTGCAGCTTCTGATATTTCATCCTAAGAATTTAAAATGAGTTGGGAGTTAGCCTTCACGCAGAACGCAAGATGGAAACTTTAGTCCAGAGATCGATGCATCTCACAACTGAACTGGAAATCCCGCCTGATATAACCAATTTGGACCCCAAAAAAACAAAATATTATCCAAAAGCTGCAAATCATCGAAAACACTAAACTAGAAATCTTAATCGGTTAACTTATCACCAGCTCTATGAATATGAAAACTCAAATACTAGGTATAACCCAAAGCAAAATAAAACCTGAAAGAGAATAGTAAGGCGAGCTAGCGGCGCGGTACAGGTCTTGCTAAAAGCACCAGCCACACCACCTGCCAGAAGTTGCTGCACCGTTCCCATCTGGGGTTGTTGATTTAGCGTCTGTTTTGTACGGCTGCTCTGACGCAAAAATTTTCGGGTACCCCCATCGGCGACGCTTCCATGGGCAGTATTCAAAGCTCTTTGTCCGCCTTCAACAACCATACCAACTTGCGCTTCCATAATCGTAGGATTCCTTTTGACTTTTTCTCGAATTTTCTGTGGACCAGAAATGACGGAACTGGATCTCACATGGGTCTCGCTCTCAACAACAAACGATTCTCGAAAGACTTGGAAACAGGGAATGCTTGAAACATGGAAGGAATGGAAATACTTGCGGCAAAGGAGAGAGCTTTGATTAGAAAGGGTTTAGGGCTTTTCTGTGGTTTGGAGTTGCTTTCTTCTTCAGTAAGTGTGGCCGCCTTCCACACGAAGTACAAGACTTGCGGCTCTCATTTTTTTTCTATAATATTTTCAGTTTAATTGTAATCAATTACCTCTTATTTCACCAAAAATAAATTTAAAAAATAAATAAATAATTTAAAATAAGCTTAATATTTACAAATTTAACTTGTAAATAACATAACATGTAAATATAAAAATTTAACTTATAGCAAAACTTATCAATATTTTATAAGATTTAAATAATTATTTATATTTGTTTTCAAAATAATAATTATTTATATTTAATTTTTATTTAAAACTTACTAATAATGTTTTTAATAAAAAAGTTAGTTAATTTGTTAAAGAAATCTTCTACTTTGTTACACAATACATTAATTACACCCTTTTTAAATTATTTTTCAGAAAACTATACATTAATTACACTCTTTTTTTAATTATTTTTCCGAAAATTTCTTTTTATTTTTTTAATGTTTTCTTTTAAACAAATGACATTCACTCGAATTATTAGTACTCATCATATATCATCACGCGCAAAAATATAATTAATTAAAAACTCGACACAAAAGACTTTTGTTATATATTAATATTGATATATTGATTTAAAACTTATATTTTTATTATGAATATGTATTATTTTTAGGAAACGGTGAATGGAATGTTTAGAAAAATTGCTTAAATGACGTAATAATATTTTTTAAAAAAATCTTAGATGAGCAAACGTAGCAACTTAATTAAAGTGTTAATCAAACAGTGTTAAGGGATAAAAGAGATGCAGATTCGCAACCAATCAAAACGAAATATGCTCGTCCAGCTTATCACAGAACTAATGATGGTAATCGTCCGATCGAACTAAGTGATTTTGTGGACATCAAAATCAGTTATTCAGATTAATAACCCATAATTTTTATAATAAAAAAAACTATATAAACTGAGTTCTCGTTGTCAATTTGGTGTTTCGGCCCCAAAAAAAAAAACAAAAAAGCCGTTTGCTGTGGAGAACTGAGTATGTTCGGTTCATGATGGGCGGGCCTGTTCTGAGAATGGGCCAAGAGAATACTGTAGATGAAATGGGCTTCAAGTTTCTCTATCTTTTTAATATGGGCCTATCGGATTTCAGCCATCTCAATTCTATACTTATTATCAAAACTAGATGTATATGATTCTGACTGAAAATGTGAGTTCCTGAGACTCGACTCATTTAAATGTTTTCGTATAAACAAAAAGATGTCTGTATGTTTATTCCCGATATATCGACAAGGCACTAATTAATTCAGTTACACCTAGGTAAGATCACTTGAAACGATTTTAAATGAAGTTCACTCTATATTCAAACTCATTCACTTGGATGCAAATATATACTATCTCTGTTTTAATATAAGAGATAAATAAATAATTTAAATATATTATAAAAATTATTTAATTGGTTATTATAACAACTGTGTTTTGACTTTTTTAAATATTGTTTTTAATCATGCGCTACTATGCATTGGAATTATCTCTTAGTAAAAACCCTTAAAATAAATAAAGATATTTAGAGGGAAATTATGAATGTGGGTCTTATATTTAGGATAAAATTTAACTTCTTAATTAGCTCTTATACTAATTATATGAGTTAGTAATTAAAAGACCTAAAAGATGGCACAGGAATTGCAAAGGAAAATGAGGCGATCATGTGAAGCCAACAAGAAAGGGAAGGCAAATCATAAAGTGCATTCATCCATATTAAGAGATTTTTTCTGCCAAAAGAACCAAATAAAATAAAGGCAAAAGGGTGTGCGCGTCAATATAATATAAAAAGCCCACTTCTTTCTCTTTTTCCTTCACTGCCTTTGCTTTGATTCCACGATTACTCTAACAAAACCACATAATAATTTAATTACTTGATCTCACCTAATCATTAATTTAAATTTATTTATCGAAATCCTTTGGTGATCCATATTGTTCATAATACTCCCTCCGTTTCTTATTATAAGAGACACTTAAAAGTTGTCTCTACTTTTTTGTGTTGATTTCTATTTTACCCATATTATTGTCTCCAACTCACACTCTCTCTCCCTCTCACTTCTCTTTCTTTCAATAATTTAATTATTCTCTCTCATGCTCTCTTCCTTATTAATGAGGGCATTTTTGGAAAAAATTATATTGATTATTCTTAATAATTTAACTGCTTTTTTGATCAACGTAATTCGGTTATTCGTCTCTTATAATAAGGAACGGAGGGAGAGTACATACCACATCTATTATAACTATATCTTTCCCCTTCCAATGCTTGGGATAAACAATAACATAATGGAACCATTTTAACTTAAAGATATAACAATATGATATAACAAAAAGAGAAAAAGAATTAATAAAGTTATTTATTCATATAGTTTGATGGCTTTTGTTTCTATATAAAAGGAAGAATGAAGGCAGGTTCTGTAGAATCAATTGCCACCGGCCAAAAAGAGTAAATGGAGGAAGTCACTTTGCTCCCTTTAATTTAAATTTAATTTATCGAAATCCTTTGGTGATCCATATTGTTCATTAATAGTACATACCCATCTATTATAACTATATCTTTCCCCTTCCAATGCTTGGGATAAACAATACATAATGGAACCATTTTAACTAAAGATATAACAAATATGATATAACAAAAAGAGAAAAAGAATTAATAAAGTTATTTATTCATATAGTTTGATGGCTTTTGTTTCTATATAAAAGGAAGAATGAAGGCAGGTTCTGTAAAATCAATTGCCACCGGCCAAAAAGAGTAAATGGGAGGAAGTCACTTTGCTCCCTTTTTTATTTCAAATATTCTTTAATCTTAAATTGTAAACTTTCATGATCAATATCAAACTAGAGATCGTACCCACTATTTATTCTGGCTTTGTGAGCAACTTGTACTATAGGGGCATGGTTAATCTTACACAAAAATATATTGCAGATGATTTTGATGTTTTGATTATTCTATATAGTAAAATAGAGCCTAAAGTGAGTCGTTGTTTATGGTTTTAAATGATACTGCATACTGTATAAAAGAATTATATATTGAAGAACATCATGTTCTGTAACGTACGTATGTGTGGTTATTGATAATATTATCATTATCATTCATTATAAAATAATTAAGTTGAAGGTTGGATGATGCCTTTCGTTTCCATTAGGAAATAAGAAAAGGAGAAGAATCAACACAAGTTGTTTTAGAGTTGATTGCCACCGGCCGAAACGGGACAAGGGTCCTTTAATCTGCTCTTATGTAATTTGTTTTGAAATATTCTTTAGCTTTAAGTTTACACTTTGATGATCAACACCTAAAAAGTCATCCGTGCATATATATAATATAATATATATATATATATATATATCATACTCATGACCAAACACTATTAATATATACTACCTCCGGTCATTTATATAAAATTTAATTGACTAATTCAGAGGGATTAAGAAAGTTAAATAAATTATTTTAAAATATTATCTTTTCAATTAATTTGCATAACTTATAAACTGATATATAGTATAATAATTCACATAAACATTTTAGAAAAATTATGTAACATGTGCTATAATTAAATATTTTTTAGCTTTTTAAATTTTTTTAAATTAGTCAATGAAATTTTATATTAAAGACTAAAAGTGGTGTTTGTCAATCTTCAATTCTTTATGGAAAAAAATAATAATAAATGTCATCACACACATAAATATATGGCTACAGATTCAGCTTCAGGATTTTGTCCAAGCGTAACAAATGGCGTTATTATTTGAGTAATTAGCCGTTGACATGAGTACCATAGCTATAAAGCTTTCTAGAGGACATTTTCCCTCATATCTGGCCAAAAATATAATTAATTTGTGAGTTTTCTTAAGTATACAGGACCTTTTTCTTAAAAAGTATAATTCATTTCATAAGTTCTAAAAAAGATAATTATGGGAGATTAGGTTTAGTGCGGTCTGATTTGGATGTACCAAGTAATAGACAAACGAAGGTGATATGAGTATGCAGTAAAGTGGCAAACAATATTATGGATATAGCAAAAGTTATATTCACACAATAGCACTATCCGGTGGTAGCACCCTAAACTGTGCAGTTATTTTAGTTCTAAATATAAGATCTATTTTGAATTTATTAATTTTTATTCATATTATTTTTAGTAATGCTTTCTCAAACAATAAACAAATAGGAGGAGATCGAGATAAAGGTGTTAAGAAAGTGATTATGATATTTTATATAAAATATGTCATATTTATTATAATTAACGAACTCAATTAAATAATTCTTACATATTTAAATTATCTAACATAACAGTGCTATAACTAATTTACCTAACTTTTAATCAAATTAGTCAAATATATCTTATATTAAACCACCTAATATAATGGAGTATTTGCACTTTTGTTTGATTGGAAGTAAACGGATTAGTGGGAAGAATGAGAATATATGTGCCTTTAAATAATTTGATATTTGATAATATATTTCAAAGATAAGAATCATTCCCATCTAATAAAATATTGTGATCAACTAATTTTTCCAGCCATCATATACCCCCCATTCACATCATTAATCTTCGTTTATAATAATTCAAATTAAATTGTACTCTCATGGTGGGGGGGAAACCCCTCTTGCCCAATGAAATGAAACCGTTCCATGACCCCCGAGTTGACGCACACCTCGAGCAAGTATTCGAAGAAAACAAAAACAGATCACTAATGGCTCACAATTTGTATTTAGTAATTAGACGTAAAAGATAAAAAAATTAATGGTTGTAGAAGCAAATTATTGTTTCTGATATTTTTAATGTTATACAAATGTTTTAGATTTATCGTATGTAGCAAAGTCACGATTGGTGATATAAAATCACCAAAAATCTGTTGGCCAAATATAAAAATGCGTCGTACTCCTTAGAATTAAACTAACTATAAAATCCAAAATTCAACACAAAAAAAAAGAGAATTTGGAGATAGCTTCTCAGTGGCTTGCTATATGTATAGGAACTATTTTTAGTGCTTATCATAATGATGAGTACCACAATACTAGTTATTGTGATGAGTGTTGAAACTGGTTTTATATATGGATCGGCGCAAAGGTAGAAACATCTTAATTGTGACTGTTTAATCATAAATTCGTAATAGTGATTAAAAGTTTAATGATAATTTTAACTTCCTCAACTTTAAGTAATTAATATGGGACTTCTTTTAATGCACTTAACTACTAACATTTCAACAAAATGTTTGAGAGTAGGTTCCGAACAATGTGCGAGTCTCAAAATAATATGTGACACACAAAAAAATACTATTCATCGTTATTTATAAGTAGTGTCATATTCATATATATATTTATATTAATTTTATTCACTCATGTAGCGCACAGTTTTAAGCCAAAATTACGTGAAAAGAAATGAATCTAAAATCAGTATTATTCTAATCAATATAAAATATAATATAAATGTGATTAAAAGTGCGAATTTTGTTGGATGTAAAATAGACCAAATCATATGGGGTACCTAAGTGGAAAACAAACCATAATAATAATAATAATAAATTATGTTATACAAAGTAGCAATGCAAAAAAAAATTATCTTAATTTATACTATCTCCGATCCTAATTATAAGACCTTACTTATAGTTTATAATAAATAAAATCTTATAATTAAGATAAAAGATAGTATAAAAATATTTTTAAAAAATATATTTTCAGTTTCCAAACACCACCAAATAGGCCGGAAATTTTAAAAATTATTTTATGACATTAATTCTTTGCAAAATATTTTAACATACTGAATCCTGATAAAATATTTCAGACTCCCAAGCGTTTAAGGAATGCCCAGAAATTTTAGGCCCGAGTAGCCCGCGGAAATCGCCAATATGCAAAGGATCTTGCCACGTGGTATGTACCACTGCCAGTTGTCTCCTACGTATCTAAAATTCCCCACGCTTTGTTCCTGCTTCTCCCTCTGACGTCAGCCACCTTCCTGCAGTTTGCTTCGTTTCATGTCGCTTATCCTTCAAATGTCGGCAGCCAGCGGCCCACATCGTGTCCATCTTTGTCTTCTCTTTCATTCACGTTCACCTCCCTCAGTCGTTCCTGCTATTTAGAAGCTTCATCTGAATCATCTTGTACTGCTCACTTCACTCTCTCTCTCATGGATTCCTTATCCCTTTTCTTCCTCATTTTTTCTTTAACTGTGCATGCTCGTGCTCAGCTTCCCGGCACGTGGGAGCTGCTGGTTCCCGACGCCGGCATCGCCTCCATGCACACTGCCGTCACCCGCTTTAACACTGTCGTCCTCCTCGACCGGACCAACATCGGACCGTCTAGAAAATTCCTCCACAAAGGTCGCTGCCGCTTCGACAAAAATGACCCTGTTCTGAAACGCGATTGCTACGCTCACTCTGTTCAACTAGACTTACAAACCAACCAAATCCGACCACTCATGATACTCACTGATACTTGGTGCTCGTCGGGTCAGTTCCTGCCCGACGGTACCCTCTTGCAAACGGGTGGGGATTCGGACGGGTTAAAGAAGATACGAAAGTTCGAACCATGCGAACCGAATGGGTCGTGTGACTGGGTGGAGCTAGAAGACGTCGAATTAGCTGAGGGACGGTGGTACGCCACAAACCAGATATTACCGGACGGTTCAGTGATTATCGTCGGAGGGAGAGGAACTAATACGGTGGAATATTACCCACCGAGGAGGAACGGCGCCGTTTCGTTTCCGTTCCTCGCTGACGTGGAGGACACCCAGTTGGACAACTTGTACCCTTATGTGCACCTCCTCCCAAACGGGTATCTCTTCATCTTCGCCAACACGAAATCTGTGTTATACGACCATCAAAGCAATAAAATCCTGAAAAATTTTCCACCTTTGGATGGAGGCCCGCGGAACTACCCGTCGGCCGGATCGTCGGCAATGTTGGCACTTCGTGGAGACTACTCCATGGCTGAGATTGTCATCTGCGGTGGAGCCGAATACGGTGCGTTTCTTCAAAAAACCAGTGATACCCCCGCGCACGGCAGCTGTGGCCGCCTGGTCGCAACGGATCCGAATCCGGTTTGGCAAATGGAGGACATGCCGATGGGTCGGATCATGGGAGACATGGTGATGCTCCCCACCGGCGACGTATTGATCATCAATGGCGCACAATCGGGGACGCAAGGGTTTGAGATGGCTTCAGACCCGTGCTTGTACCCACTTTTATATCGACCTGACCAACCGATCGGATTACGTTTCATGACCCTCAACCCGGGTACGATACCCAGACTGTACCACTCAACAGCAAACTTGTTACCTGATGGGAGGGTGTTACTTGCAGGAAGCAATCCACACTATTTCTACAAATTCGATGCCGAATTTCCCACGGAGATGCGGATTGAAGCGTTCTCGCCGGAGTATTTATCAGCGGACAGGGCAAACATCCGACCCGCAATCGAGATGATACCGGAGACGGTACGTTATGGTGGAAAGTTCGACGTGTCAATATCGGTTTCGTTGCCAGTGGTGGGAATAGTGGAAGTGAATTTGGGAAGCGCGCCATTTGCAACACATTCTTTTTCCCACGGTCAACGTCTGGTCAAACTAGCCGTTACATCTGCAGTGCCGGACGGTGACGGACGGTACAAGATTGAGTGTACGGCACCGCCTAACGCCGCCGTTGCTCCGCCTGGTTACTACATGGCATTTGCGGTTAATCAAGGCGTGCCGAGCGTGGCTCGTTGGGTGCAACTCATTGCATAGCCCTCTGTTTTTAGCATCAAGATTCGATTGCTCTGGAAAAATTGAATCATGGCTTTTATTTATGTACTTTGGTTGTTAATTCAGCAATTGTTGATATGAAACATTCCTCTTAATTGTTTATTTCGGGATGATACATCAAAACTTAATTGATATTTTGTATGAATTGTGACTGTGGAGTACAACAGAAGATTGTAGCTAGCGATGCTTCTGGGCGATTTGGATGAGTTTGGGAAGGAGAGCCATAAAATGAAAGCTTCCAAAATAAATCAAAATTTGTGATTGGTTTTGAAGGAGAAAGAAAGAAACAGTGAAAGCCACACACAGCACAATCAAACATCATCCTTTGGTAACAAAAGCGACACAGATGTTTGGGACCCAACCACTTTTCCTTGTTTTTCATTTTCCATGTGAAAAGGAAGGATTCATAATTAAATGCATCAAAATCAAAACTGGTGAACTGAAATGTCCATCGCCTGTATATATCAGAATCAGAAGTGAGAACTCAGTCTTATCTCCGACCGCAGTCCACATAATACATTACATTGGTCCTATATTATTTGCCTCAATCATCAACATTTTTAACAATTCATGTCTAATGAATATGCATATTTTATTCTATAATTTATTTTTCGTGTGACCTTTCAAATCAAATTAAGTTGACATCCTATATATCGATTTTATGAGGGTCAATTTTTTGTGGGATTGCATTGTGGATGTGCTTTCATTGAAGAGGACTCAACTTTGAAATAATCAGTCAATTCTTCTTTTGAAATGAAAGTGGTAATAGCTCATTTAACGAGTTTAATCATAATTTACGAAATACGAGATAAGTATGTGAGAGAAGTTTTATATTTACTTACATGAAACGTGATTATAAACATTTAGAACATAAGCCAACTCAAGCGCATCAATTCTGCTTATTTCTTCGCATTATTACAATGATACTATGCAAATTTGCTAAAAACAGGAGAAAAGTAAAGTATTGGACAATTGATGAAGCCTACGATGGGCCCTACTTCCAGAATGATGAAGCAACTTCACCAATTCAGAGTGCGTTAGGTTCATTATCCCCTCGACAAAAGAGCGAGAGTGTTATACTATAAATAATATTGTCCCACTTCCACCATCCAAAATAGAATGCATTGTTAATTCAGCTTTGTAAATTATTGACTATACAAAATTATTAGTTATAAAAACTAAACAAAAATTGAATAAAATATTACATGAAAATTATCATGTCTTGTATTTCACCCTGCAATAAACACGTTTTTGGTTATACAAGTGCGTGAAGATTCTCAATTGATCTGGAAGGGAAGAAACGTAACGTCAAGTTTTCTCCATCATCATGTCGATGCAAACTTTGGAGTCCCAATTGCATCCTTAATTGATCTCACTGTACTTGAACTAATTAAGAAATTAAAAGATAAACAATCGAGTTGTCAAATTCATTACTCCAGGCAGAAATTCTAATTTGCTTTAAAGTTTATACTCTTTTGGTTCTAAATATAGGGCCAATTTTATAATATAACTTATACTACAAAATAAATATTATATTTAGGACCGAAAAAGTACTATATAGTTATTTCACATTATTAAACATCATTCACCGGAGAAAATTTATGATCTTCAGGTATATTATGACATTAAGAGCAACCCATAATACCATAATAGTGATGGAGCCACTTTGAAGGATCATAAACTCGAAAGCTAGCTGTATTCAAAATAATAACACATACTTCACTCTATAAACTACCCACTTCCTAAGTGATTACAATAGGCTTTACTTATTCCAAGAAACGAGATTTAACAAACTCATCATCAAAGGATGGATTGATCTTACCATATCAATATACTACAATCTGTATATAATACGAGGTATAATAAACTAAGTTGAAACCATTGTCGTCCCATGAGCTCCATCATCACTTTTTCCTTCATAGCAATCCGCCACGGCGACTTTCTGCGCATTCTTGTACGAATACCTACGAGCAAAGAACACATACACAAACAGATTCACTGTCGTTATTGCCGCCAATAGCCAATAAAACTTGTCCAATCTGCTACTGTTTAAATCCTTCCCGAACCAACTTTTTCCACCCTTGTCTGTGACGTGGTCTACAAAAGTGATCACCCAACTGCTCAGAAAGTTCGCAGCTCCAATCACGCTGAGGTACAATGCTATCCCCAAGCTTCTCATGGAATCAGGCACTTGGTCGTAGAAGTACTCTTGTAACCCCACAAGAGTGAACCCATCTCCGAAGCCTATGACCAGAAACTGAGGAGCCAACCAGAAGACGCTCATGGAAAGTGAACCTTTGACTGGATTTCTATCAACAACTTGGAGTCTTCTGTGTTCCACTAACGCTGCTATTATCATTGTGCTCACAGAGAACACCATTCCGAAGCCGATCCTCTGAAGGATGGTGATTCCTCGTTCGTTTCCGGTGAGTTTTCTGAACAAGGGTACGAGGATTCTGTCGTAGACGGCTACGGCAATTATCATTCCGATAGCGGAGAGGGTGTAGATTGAGGCTGAGGGTAGCTGGAAGGCGGTGTTATTGAGTACTATGTTTCGGTTTAAGGTAGTTCCTTGTTTGATGAAGAATGTGGCGGTTTGAGCGACACACATTCCGAAGGGTAGTGTGAATATCCATATGGGTATCATGTTGATAATCAGCTTCATTTCTTCCACTTTTGTCACTGTTGCTAGCTTCCATGGACTCTGCTTCCCTGCTGTGCTTCCATCGTTGTTTTCCAGAATTGCTGCCTTGTCCAGAAATCTGAAACACCATTTAGATGGACCTATTAGTAATCAAAATCTTTACCTGAGATTACATATAATTCTCCCAATTATTTTCCCTGAGTTGGAAGTTTGGGCTATTTGGGTTGAATCAACTTTTTCTTGATGGAGAAAGGCCAGCATCATATCATTTATTAGGCATGTACAAATTAAGGCTGGCCCATTAAACTTGACAGGACCTATCCAGTTAATAAGTGGAGGCCCATTGGTCTGAACAGAGAAAGTACACTTACTGGGTCAAAAGTACACAAATTGAATGTGAAAGCATTACTTACTTGAGTTTCTTGGTCTGACAGAGAAGTCTAGTATTGGTGCTCTGAGACTTGGGAACTTCATAGAACTGAGAAGGATCGGTAGGGTAGGGAAGCTTCCTTTTGGAGATGGCCGCAACAAGGACCTGAAGCATGGGAGTGAAAGGGCTTCCAGTGGGAGCCCTATACCTATAGAAAGGCCTTCCCATCAAGAAAATGACCAGAGACAAAGCCATGACCCCTGAAAGGATAAGATCAGCAGCTCCCCAGTTCACACGGTCTTGTACATACACAATTACGGTCACCCCAAGAACCAGTCCACTGCACAGGCCACAGTTCCACCAGTTGAAGAATGACATTTTCTGCCGCCTTTCACCAGCATGTTCATCGTCGAATTGGTCGGCTCCAAAGCTCTCCAGGGAAGGCTTGTGCCCTCCAGTTCCTACAGATATTAGGTATATGGCAAGGAAGAAGAACACTTCATGAATCTTCCTAGGTTTAGTGCACATAGCTGCATCACAGGGCTTCAAACCAGGAAGAAACCAGGACATAGAAAGAAGAACCAGACCCTGTTTTTTCCACAAAGAGATAAGTAGTTTTGAAGAGGGTAGACAGATCATATAATGAATAGAAAGAAGAAGGAGTATATATAAGATACCATGAGATAAACGAGGCAAGAAGCGAAGACGGTGAAGTAACGGCCCAAGTAAGCATCGGCTAAGAAGCCGCCGATGAGAGGCATCATGGTGGTGACGCCGGTCCAGTAGTTGACATTCTTGGCCGCTGTCTTGAGGTCCTCATGCATGATCTTGGTCAGATAGATGACCAGGCTCGTCGCTATTCCGAAGTAACTCAATCTCTCACTGAACTCAATCGCTGCAAACACACAATAATAATTAATTCACACTCAAGACCGCTCGTAATATTCAGTCCACAGAACAAACAGCTGGAACCGTTGCCTTGAGAAATTCCTTGCTACACAGTCTACACTACGATATCTATATTTTTTTTATCCACTCGGTATCCTTTTTCTAGATTCTATTATAGGTATCTAAGCAACCCACTGATCCGAATCGAGCTTTGTAAGGGTAGGCTCTCTTAATAAGTTTTAACAAGTTTTAATGTAGCTGAAGTCGAATACGAGACCGTTAGTTCAGCTGGATTAACTCCTTACCAATTCAACAAAATCGTCACTAATATATCTATATAATAATGAATTTTCTTGACGATAACCTATTAGTCAAGAGGGTCATAAATAGTTTTGAAAATAGTCACAATTTTAATGATATGATTCTTTGACAAATTAAGTATTAATGGTTCGTATCTCTCGATGTGGGACTACTCTGCCACGTACAAAGTGGGTTCTAATGCCGGCGTAAAGTAATGTCTCCACGTGTTTACTCGACAAGATCAACGAGTCCAGATTCTTCAATTTCAACTTTCAGGCAGTTACTGTGTCTTAATTATCATGAGACGACGGTGGGAATACAAATACAAATACAAATATTAAAAATACAAATATTTCATAAAATTCAGTAATCTATTTAATTAGTTGTTGAAAAAAATGATCTCTGATTTTTTGTTGATGAATTCAAATGACAGGGTGGGGATACGATCAACTTTTAAAGTGCTTTGCGTCAAACTTTGCATTAAGTGACACGCGTGAAAGCAAAGAGACAAAATGTTCACTTACTTCAAGCAGTGGAAGAAACAAAAAGAGGAAAGTGGAGTACTATAAAGCAAACTCAATATTTGATATCAAGAGAGAGCATTTTATATATGCGGCTAAGATAAATTTATGGTTTCAATATTAATTAAAAACAAAAAACAAAAACGGATATTGTCATCACGTGGCCGTAGGGAACAAAAACCAAAATAAAGAGGCTATCAATATTCATTCGTATTCAACAAGCAACACATGCATATCCTTATTTTAGGAACAGCATTTATTTTGCATATTTAATGGGATTAATTCTGGGGCCACCATTAAAGCTAGAGAAAGAAAATACCTATAAGGGATTTCCAGACCAGTAAACGAGAAGGATTCTTCCTTTATGATCAACCGAAGAATCATAAACCCATTTCATGTCGTCGACTTCATGACCAACACTTTCTACTTCTGCAACTGTTCTCTTCGCCATGGCTGATCCCAAGGCTTGATCTTACTTAATTAGCTTGATGTTGTAACAAGCACAGGAACGGAGAGAGAGAGAGAGGGAGAGAGAGAGAGAGAGAGAGAGAGAGAGCAGCTGTGACTTGTGCGGAGACTAGCTTTACTTGGGATTCCTTATATAGAGAACTTTGATGACCATCAACAGGATAATTTAAATCTGATGCGTTTATTTTAGTGAACACATTTAATATGATGGACTAGCAATGTCCAAATTATTGAATAAAGATAAAAATATTTATGATTCTTTTTTTTAAGATACAAACAACCAAATTTCTCAAAAAGTTAGTTTAGTTAGTTTAAATTTAATTTTAAATAATAAATATATTTATAAAGTGCAATTCAATTGTCAACTTTAAAAATATTACTCTTATTTATGAAAAGAATGAATGAGTGAAAAAGAATAAATAATTAATACTCCAGTGAACCTAACTACCAATCAAGACAGGCAAAATTGAAAATGATATTAAAATTTTAGACAGACTAATAGTATAGTAGTATATGGGGAGCAATATTAAATAATTCTTTTTTTTTAACCCTATAACTTTACAAAACAAAAACAACTAACTTGATTTAAACTATATCTACATGACATGATCAAACTTAAAACTATATTATTATTTATGAATTATAAACACTATGACCTATTTTGTTATTATATATATATATATGCATAAAGCAGAGGCTGACATTCTCTATAGTCTGATACTTATCTGATCTTATTTATAGAGCAAAAAGAGAGAATTTTTATATGAATGTATAATTTACCCTTCATTTATTGTTATGTTAATTTTGTTCTCATGTAGTATATTGTATATTAAATGAGGATAAAACTGAAAAATTATTAAATTTTAAATAAGAATTAATAAAGTTTAATGTTTTTATTGGTCTATATGAAAGATATTGAAAGTGATATATAAATAGAGTAGAAGAGGAGTAAAAATTTAGCTTTACCCTTCATTTATTGTTATGTTAATTTTGTTCTCATGTATCATATTGTATATTAAATGAGGAAAACTGAAAATTTATTAAATTTTAAATAAGAATTAATAAAGTTTAATGTTTTTATTGGTCTATATGAAAGATATTGAAAGTGATATATAAATAGAGTAGAAGAGGAGTAAAAATTTTAGCTTTTGACCCGGACATTGTTGCTACTTGCTAGCTAGCAGCACTTTGAAATTCCATAAAGTCGCTTTCTCTCTGGCTGTTCATGCAATAATGGCGATTTGGGAGGGACAAAATTCTCTACACATAAACAAAAGTAATATACTAATTATCACATTCCTTTTACTAAACGGAACCCTTTAAAACGACCTATTATTGGTAATATTGCCTAATATATACATGGTGATGAATATCAACAGTACCTATACAAATTAAAAATATATGCGTGACTTTGCACGAACCTTTTTTTTAATGTTGGTTTAATGCTTTTATGTGTAAATTTTGATTATATAAATGAATCGTAGAGGGTTGAATCTGATCATTATATTACTTAAGTGTCAATCCATCCTTCACACGCGGAAGAAAGGCTTTTTAGACTGGCGGGCTTTACCTAATTTTTCTTCAGTTATACCATGCTGGGAAAGTATTTTTATTTAAAAAATGGTTAATGTTCTGATCAAATATAACAAATAAAAAAAGACAAATAATATAGTATAAGAGTACTTTATAGAAATGATATGTGAATGGAGATCACTTTCAATTAAAAAATATCGTTGTTGCAAAGGAATAGAATCCAATCCGGGTTAAGTTTCTTCTGGGCATAAAGGGACCACAATGCAATATTTCGATGGGTCTAATTGTAATGTGTGTTATTAAAAGAACTGAAACTGATTAGAGGGCCATTATTGGCCTATCAATATACTTTAAGGCCAAAGAATAGTTCCCCCATCAAAAACCAAAGGACGAAGAATATATGTTTTCCTATCAACCTAGCCACTCCTTATTCTCTCCTATTATATAAAAAAATTGGAGCAGGTAAAATTATTCCCCTTTTCTTCAAAAAAAAAAAAAACAATCTTTTAATCTAAAGATTATTAAATTGTATCGATATGCTCTACCTGCAAGGCTTAGAAGTATATGGGAAAATGCCTATGTTCCTGAATCACAATCATGTTGTGAGATATACAATATAAATTAATTCTGAATCAATATTTTTAATTACGCACCCACACACTATCTTCCTTACATGGGAAGAAAACTCCAACATCTACTAAATCAGATTTTGGAGGCTATAGATTTAAATCTATATAAGGTTTTTGTTTCATTTCTTAATTTTATAAAGTATTTTGTTCAGTTCTATATCATTATAGTGTCAAATGATAATTTTTGTGTGTTAATAGTTGCTATTTTAAAAACTAAACTTAATTATTAATATGTCAACATTTGAAAATATTTTATTAATATTTAGGATTTTATATGAATATTTTTGTTAACGAAACCATAAAATTATAAAGTTAGAGAGGTTTGAATAAAATATTGTATAAAGTTGGCTGATCAAATATACTCCCTTGCATAAAGTTAAAAAAAATAGAAAAAGTTATAATTATTGCAGCAAATGGAACAAATATCACACGCAGACACACACACTCTCTCTCTAGATCTCTCTCTATCTCTCCACACACACAGACACACATTAATAATAACCAAGCTGTGTTGATTGCAGTTTTTCTCATCCTCATCATGTAAGACTATATATTAAAAAAAGAATCCTACTATATAAATGCTTCTCTTAGATCTAATAGATTTAGTTTGGATAACTTATTAAGTAATTATTCGGATAAATATTAAACACGAGTTTTTTTTTTTGGGCTCCGTGAATTGTTCAAGTTATGGTGTTTTTTTCTCCAACGATTATCTCTCTCACACACACACAGGAATTTCTAATTAAAGAGTACTTGAAGGAGAAATTCTGCCTTAGCCCTTAAAAAAGTATACGTATTTCTTAAATAGGAATGAAAAATTATGCATGTTTAATTAATATTGCCTGAAAGTATGGCTATAAGCTATCAACCATTTTTGAAAGTGTCTATGTTTTTTTTTTTATTTAAAAGAAAAAAAGAATTATGGCTAGCAAAGGTGACAACGTACGGCATCATCTCATACGGCCCGATTTAGTCATTTTATACTCAATCTGGACATGAATATTCAAGCCTAGCCACAAAAGTGTGTGTATAAAAGTACGTATCATATTAAATGCAATTATAGATTAAAATAAGAGGATATGTTGGATAAGTATCTATATATCAATATTTCAAATTCTTTGATAAGACGTGATATTGAATCAAAGTATCATATAATTTTTTGTCAAAATCAAAGATAGACGCATCCAATACTTATAATTGGTGGAATTAATAGAAATTATCTATATTTACTGTCTAATTGCCTTAAAAAATCCGAATAATTGGTTTCCTTTATGATTTAGAGATAGTGCTTGGTGGAATTATTTCCTACACTATCTGAAATGATGCCATAATGTTCGAGTGTTTTGGAGCACTGATGATTTGAAAGAACGCAAGCATGTGCTTTTATTGTGGATCAAGTTAAATTGTCTTTTAATTTATGCTTTTGGGTGACTGCAAAAAAGCTAGCAAGCCAGATATTTCAATGTTTAATTAATTAATTAGCTCCTACCAATAGAGCCGTCAAAACGGGCCAAGCCCACCGGGCCAGCCCTTTTAAGTGGAGGGCCGGACTTGTATTTTAGGTGATTTAAAAGAAAATTGGGCTTAAAAGGGCTAGCCCTATAGGGTTCAAAAATAAAAGGGCCAACCCTTTAGAGACAAGGGCTAGCACTTTTAAATCCGCCTATTTTTTTTTATTATTATCAATATATTTATAAAGTTATAGATTAGTCTTTAATGAATAAGTTTAAATTAGAAAAATACTTAGAAGAATCAATACTCAAGCTA